GGCCTCAAGAAGAACAAAAATGCAGGCCTTGAATTATGTTCTATTGGAAGGTGTTCTTTATAGAAGAGGACATGATGAACTACTTTTGCGCTGTCTTGGTCCAGATGAGTACTGCCAGATTATGTCAGATGTGCATAACGGAATCTGTGGTGCACGCCAAGCTGGAATTAAGATGAGATGGCTAATTCGTAGACATGGGTTCTTTTGGCCATCGATCTTGAAAGATTGCATCAGCTATGCTAAAGGTTGTAAAGCCTGCCAAATTCATGGACCACTGCAGAGAGTTCCAGCGTCAGAACTCCATCCAATTGTCAAACCATGGCCATTTCGAGGATGGGCCATAGATTTGATTGGTAAAGTTTATCCTCCTTCAACTAGAGGGCATTCATTTATTATTGTTGCCACAAATTACTTTACCAAGTGGGTGGAAGCAAAGCCAATGAACAAGGTTGACAAAACCGATATTATTAAATTTCTCAAGGAGGAAATCATTCACAGATTCGGTTTGCCAGAAACAGTGACTTCAGATCAGGGGACAGTTTTTGTTGGTGCACAAGTGGAGGCATTTGCAAAAGAAATGGGATTTAGGTTACTCACTTCAACCCCTCATTTTGCTCAAGCCAATGGTCAAGTTGAAGCTTCCAACAGGATAGTGATAAATCTGCTGGAAAAAATGGTTGATGATAATCCAAGGTGTTGGCATGAGCTGTTATCTGACACAATCTGGGCCTACAGAACTTCATAAAGGAGTGCTACCAAGGTAACTCCATTCTCTTTAACTTTTGGACATGATGCTGTTTTGCCCATGGAGTTATTTGCCAAATCATTGCATATAGCAATTCAACATGGTCTCACTTCTGGAGAATATAATGAAGCAATGATTCTAAAGTTAGAAGACCTTGAAGGTACGCGATTGACGGCTTTAGATAGGCTGCAAACGCAGAAATTAAAAGTAGCTCGAGCATACAACAAACGGGTGAAATCCAGAAGTCTGGCAGTAGGAGATCTGGTATGGAAAGTAATTCTGCCACCTGGAAAGAAAGACCCCAGATTTGGGAAATGGTCTCCAAATTGGGAAGGACCATTTCGTATACATGAAGTGCTTAGAGGAGGAGCATATTGGCTTGAGTCATTAAATGGAGAATTACATCCTCGAAAAATAAATGGAATCTACCTTAAGCCTTACTATCCTATGATATGGGAGGCTAGAGGTTTGGATACCATTGATTCTATCTGAGACAGATTTGAGGTTGGATTTGTACAGTATTTTATTCCATTGTTTTAAGCATTTTATCATTCAATAAAAGTGCTGAGCCGAATCTGTAAGTAGGCCAGATCTGGCTGTGAACAACCACAGCAGCCAGATTTCGGCCATGACAGATTTCAACCTGTACCAAAGTATGAACAAAAGTACAGCAAGCAGATTTCCAGAATATGAGCCAAGAAAGAGATCAACATTGAAAAGAAGTTTGCATGGCCAATAGGCCACAAACAGTATGTTCAAACATGACAATGGGCAACATCAGCCAACAAAGAGACAAGAAGATACATAAGAGAAAAATCAACAAAGGTTATTTTGCCATGAACTCCATTCTTCTCTCATGTTCTTTATTTCTTCGGCGGCTTCATCTGCAGAGGCTGTGAAAGAAGGTAACTGCTCCTTGATCTTGGCAGTAGATTTCAAACCAATTTCCATGTCCATGCGGAGCTTGTTTCTTTGTTTTGCCAAATTCTTCTCACTTTGCTCCGCAAGAGGAACTTGGTTTCTCAACTCCGAAAGCTCGGCTTCAAGGTTAGAGATTTTTTCTTTGAGCCCTTGGACATGTGTAATTTGCGTGACATGAGCCTCCTTTGCTGCCAAGAATTCTTCTTTCTTCTTGAAGACAGCAACAGTGCTATCCACTACAGACTTCCTGACAAAATCTGCAGCCGCTACTTTGCTTTCAAGCACCCGGAATTTCTTGCTGAAGTGCGTATAAATGGAGGTGAAGTCTGCCCAGAATTTTTGTTGAGTTGATGATAATTGTGGGGCTCGGCTAAGGATTTGAGCCACTTCAAAAGCGGCTGGCTGGTCCGGCACTTTGCAGAAATGGGAAGGATCACCACCAAGGAGCTCTTGCATGGTCATAATCGCAAAACTAATCTGCTCCTGAGTAGGAAGGTTGATATCAAAATCCACTTCTTCAGCAACTGCCTTCCCTTTACTATCTGTGGCAGATTCAGATTTAGCATGAGTATCCATCAACATGTCCAGCTGAGCAAGGAGTTCATTCTCCAAATCATCATCAATCATGGGCACATCAGCAGCAACACTCTATAAAATGTAAAGACAAAAGATCAAAAATGGAAACTGGCAGATATGGTGACAGATTTCAAGATCTAAGCAGATTTCA